ATCACTGAAAAATCTAGGGCTGGAGACTTGTCTCAGGGGTACACTGCCTGCCTAGCATGTTTAAGGCCTAAGCTCCATTCCAGCACTGTATTAAAACACTTTTTCAAAGTATTAAGAATAACAGCTGAAACATCTTTTATATTTAACATATATAAAGTCCAATTTACACAAGTTTCTACACTCAAATATATTTAGGAAACAAAACAAAACAAACAAACAACACGGTAAGTTGACAATAGCAACACTGGGAGAAACTCCAGAAACATAGAAACTAGCAGTATCTTCCAATGTTTTATGAGCGTTGAAGTTACAACTTAAAATTATTATTTTAAGCAACACATAATTATACTTATACATAAAACTAATTCATATATATTAAATGAATGATGAGTCAATTGATAAAGAGCCAGCTATTAAATGTTAACAAATACACTAGCTATGACAGAATGTGACTTCTTTAAAAAAAAAAAAAACAAACACATGAAAATTTAATCACTTTCTTTTTCTCTCTTTTTTATGTGCACGAATGTACCTGAGTTGGTGCACTATGTGCATGCGGTGCCTGTGGAGGCCAGAAGGGTGTGTCAGATCCCCTGGGACTGGAGTTAGGGCGTGGTTGCTGGGCCTGGAACCTGGGCCATCTGCAGGTACAGCAAGTGCTCTTAACCACTGAACCACCTCCCCCGCGCCACGGCTTTCCTGTATAAAATTATTTTTATTAGTGATATTGGTAATGCTCCTGCCAACAGCAGCCCCCCTGAGGCGCTGTCAAAGCATTCTAGTGTGTCAAAGCATGGCCCTGTTATCTTATTCTATACATTCTTTCATTGTTTTCTATAGTGTAACTCTTTTCTGCTAGACTATTTCTACTCAGAATAGGGAAGCCAAGGGTTTGAGAGGTTTATGAGCAATTATAAAGAAATTTTATAGCGAAACTGAACTTATTCCTGGTCTCTCCAATCCGTTAAGATACATGTTATTCATGTTATTGCCAGTGGTCACCTATAACATGGACAAATAAAGTAATAGAGTCATTGATAGCTTTCTTCGTGGGCTGCTATACTGGAGCCTTTAAGTTAAATGGTAGAGCCACAGAACTAACATGTAGTTCACTAAGATTTAAATTCAGTAGTGAAATAAAGCATGCTCTAATTAGAACACTGCATTTATTTATTACTTCAAAATCCAAACTGCTACATTATATCTTAAGTTCAAAGGTACTCAAGGAGATTTTCACCATAACAAAACCAGATCATTACTATTTCACAGTGTATCAAATCCCAGGCGAGTCTAATAGGTACTTTAATAAATGTGGAGATCTTGAGTATCCCTTCTCAAGTAAGAATTTGCATACTTTAGTAAAATTGAGTTTTCCTTTACAAAACTATTCAGACCTCCATTAGCCTTAGTCCCTTTTCACTGTATTTTTTTTTTCTTCCTTTTTGGATAATATCCCACAATAGTCTTGCTTGAGGATTTATTGTGATAGTGCTTCAGAAATGGAGCAGGGAAACCTTAGTAATAAACCAAAGACTGCTTGCTTTGACAGTTGTTTATTTTTAACTAATTCCTTTTAAAAGCTGAAAACACTCCTTCATTTTGTATTTTTCTAATAATTTGGTGATTATTAGAAACATGGAAAACAAACATCAGCTGCTTCTAAATCCCAGAATAACTTGCTGGAATATAGGCTATCCAATGCAAAATACATACCACTGGTTTTCAAATTACAGTTATTATTTTAATGTAGACATTTCTTAATTTCTACTGAAAGCATTATATATATATTTTTTTCCAAGTCTTTAATGTGTCATTATTTACAGGGAGGAGATGTCAGGTTTTCTTGAGAACCTGTTGCTCACATTCTACCATCTGATGATTCTGAAATGATTCATCATTGTGCTGATCTGGAATAAGTATGCTGTTTGCAAATAATGAAAAGCTCATGTTGTAGCACTATTTTTTCATCAGTGAAAAGGGCCCTTAGTTTTTTTAGGTTGTTTTTCCCCCTACATTTTCCCCATACATTTTCTAAAAGTACTTCCCATACACAGCTGAAAATTGAAGTCTTTGAGGAAGTACCCGGTGTAAGGCAAATGGTCACGCTGGGGGCTGAGAGCGTAGTGAGGGAGGACTCTCACAGACTCCAGTGCATGGTCTGTCAGTACAGGCACGGAGCCAGGATAACTGCATTAAAGCCTTTAAGTCTGGCTCTCCAGGGACTTCTCCAATTCCAATGAGCTAGGGCTACCATGTTACTTCTTAACAACTCTCTACACACTAGCAAAGGGACTTGCATGCAGACACTGCATTCTATCACTCTTTGTTGTTGTTATTTGTAGACTTTTTAATTTCTTGTAGACAATTATAAATATACTTTCTGTGGTTTGGGAATAGATTGTTTTTTTCCTCTGTACAGTGAATTCAAATTTTTTTTTTACAACAACTAGAATTATTTTCATTTTTTCCCAACAGTCTAAAGTGACAAGTTCTCTTATTTTTTTTTTTTTTTAACCTAGGAGTTGCTTGATGAGGTAGTGAGAAGACTGGCCTGAAACTCCTGGGCTCAAGTGATCCATCTGTCTCCCTTTAACTGTGGCTGAAAAATATCATGACTAATCATCAGGAAGTTTATACACTAAGATAGTATAAGGTCATGATGAGGCACATGCTATTTTCCCCCTGCATATCATATGGTCAACAATACCCACTGATAACCAATTTCAACATCAAAATCAAGTTATTATAAATCCACATTGGATTTAACAGGTCAATTATTTCTACTTCATTGCTGGAAACTGTCTTGAGAAATTACTCAAATTGTAGATTTAGAAAAGAAGCCTTGCATCAGCTATCTCTGCCACAATAACAACATAATGTAACACATTGTTTCTTTTATTCTTCTGCCCCCTCAAGAAACAGGGATTTTATTCTGAGGTACTGGTTCCTATACTGACCTCTGTCCGGGTTTGAAGGACAGTTTCTACTGAGTTTAAAGAACCTGTCTCCATAAAATACAGCCAAGCACCTAAAAATTTCTGTGCAAAATTTAATTATCAATCTATTTTTAGATAAAAGAGTACTCCTGTCCTTTAGAGATTAGAGAACTGAGTAAAATAATTTAAATAAGTCAGCTTGACATGCTCTCTAAAAGTTGTAATAAATCTAAAATCTTGATTTCCAGAAAAACTTCTCAGATTTTAGCTAAATGAGGGTTGTTTTCGTATGTCAGCGTTCAACAGTTTCCAGTGTTTAAAATCACATCCTTGCCCTCCCAATGTGGTGGTGCTTGCCAGCATTTGGGAGGTAGAGGCAGGAACTCACTACAGGTTCAAGGCCACTTTGGTTTAAGTGAGTGATACACTGGGATACACTGTGTCTCAAAAACAAAACAAAAAAAGAATGGCCTCATGATTTTTGGTTGGTAAGTAGCTACAATTTACAACGGTAAATTCGGTGGCACTTTCAGAGCTGCTGTGTAACTTAGGAAGGGGTATTCTCTCATTGTGCTTGGTCTAAAGCAAACCAAGTAACAGCATGGAACTAATAAGAGCCTTAAAACAATCAAGAGCTACAAATACTTAACAGTAGGCTTCACATCTTTGGAACCTATAAGCTGATTTCATGTTGAACATCTCAAAAGTTTAAATGAACTCTTCCAGCCTTGAACCACGGCAATTCAGGAAAATTTGGAATATGCTATTAATTCCTAATCTTTTTTGAAAACCGACTTTACTCTGGGTAAATAACCATCCCCGAAGTCATTGGTGAGGTCAGAATTTCAGTCTGGAAGATCATGTTTCTAGCTCAATCTGGATAGCTCTTCTGTGTTAGTCACCCTCTGTTCTCTTGAATCTCACTTTTCTGACCATGGTGATCAACGCATATTTTTCAGCGCTTTTAACGTAATTCGCTTTCTCCAGCCACACAACTCTTCTGCAGCCAGACCGCCCTAGTTTCCTCCCCTGTTGCCCTGGTTCCACCAGGACTACGCTAAACCTTAGGAAACAGCACATGACCTCCGGGCATCCAGGATCTCCACACCCCGGTACCGAACCGTGCGTTTCCCCCGGCTCGCAATTTAAAACCGTCCTCGGGCTCCCCAACCCCTAATGAACCAGCGGCGTGAAATTTAAATTTGAAAAACCTTAAATAAAGGACTCGCTCCCCTTTCTCTAACCCGCAGCCCCGCCCACGAGCTCTCACAAGCCTCCATGAGAAGCTGCAGGAAACCGGAGGGGGCGGGGCGGTGACGTCACGACGCCGGCGCGTCACGGAACGGCGGCGGCTGCGGCGCTGGCGGTGGCTGCGGCAGCGGCGGCATTTTAGTCTGCGGCGGCGGCGGCTGCTGCGGGGCTGCTGCTCCTCCCAGCATCCCTGGCGCGGCCATTTCAGCCCCATCTTGGCCGAGTGGAGGGAGCTGCAGCCGCTGCTTCAGCAGTTCGAATTTCAGTTTTTCCGGGGTCTGCGAGCCGGCCGCGCCGAGGAGAAGCGGAAGACGCCGCCACCGGTCCCCCCACGCCGCCGAGCGCCTCCGCTCGCTCTGCCGTTCCTCCAGCCGCCGCCGCCCCTCACGCGCCCGCGAGCCGCGAGGAGGCCGGGCCCGCCGCCGCGGGTGGCTCCCTGAGGGAGGCCACACTGCTGGCCTTCCCCGCCCCCGAGCGGGCTTCCGCCGCCGCCGCCGGCATGGCCCCCGGGCTGCGCTCGGGCTAGAGCCCGGGACGGAGGGCTGCCCCTCGCCGCGGACCTCCAGCCCCGTCGGGAAGCGTCGGTCCCGGCCTCCCCGCTCCGCCTTCTTCCTCCGCGGCGCCGCGCGGGAGCAGCCGCGGGCCCCGGCCAGAGAGAGAGGAGCCCGAGCGGGGCAGAACCGCCCCTCACGCTGCCGCCGCCGCCGCCGCCGCCGCCTCCTGCGCCCTGCGCTCCACCCCCAGCCGGGCCTGCTGACCGCGCCGAGCGCCGGGCTGGACTGACCGCGGCGGCTGAGCCGCGGGAGCAGCCGTCCCGCCCCTGAGCCACGCTCCGGCCGTCACGGACGGGCTGCCTTGAGGCACCGCGGCCGCGGAGGAGAGGAGGAGGATGTCGCGGCGCGGCGCCGGTGCCCAGGACAGACGGTGACTTGCGGCGCGGGCCGAAGACCCAGGCGCGAACTCGGACTTTGTCTTTGGGGGCCCGTGCTCGGCCCTTCCCGGTTTCCGGTGGGATCCCAGAGGAGCCTCTGTTTCTCCAGCCTCTTCCACCATGTCCAAGATGCCGGCCAAGAAGAAGAGCTGCTTCCAGATCACCAGTGTCACCACGGCCCAGGTGGCCACCAGCATCACGGAGGACACCGAGAGCTTGGACGACCCGGACGAGTCGCGCACGGAGGACGTGTCCTCCGAGATCTTCGACGTCTCCCGGGCCACGGATTACGGCCCCGAGGAGGTGTGTGAGCGCAGCTCCTCGGAAGAGACGCTCAACAATGTCGGGGATGCGGAAACTCCCGGGACCGTGTCCCCGAACCTCATCCTAGATGGGCAGCTGGCAGCCGCCTCGGCTGCGCCCGCCAACGGAGGCGGCGGCGTGTCGGCCCGGAGCGTGGCGGGGGCGCTCGCCCAGACCCTGGCGGCGGCCGCCACTTCGGGGTCCGCCCCGGGGCCGGGTAGTGCAACTCCATCTCAGCCCCCCACCACTTGTAGTTCCCGTTTCCGCGTGATCAAGCTGGACCACGGGAGTGGAGAGCCGTATCGGCGCGGCCGATGGACGTGTATGGAATACTACGAGCGGGATTCAGATAGCAGCGTCCTCACTAGGTCCGGGGATTGCATTAGACACAGCAATACTTTGGAGCAGACTGCGGAGCGGGACAGCGGCCTGGGCGCCACCGGAGGGTCGGTGGTGGTGGTGGTGGCCTCCATGCAGGGGGCGCACGGGCTGGACTCGGGAACTGACAGCTCCTTGACTGCTGTGTCACAGCTACCCCCGTCGGAGAAAATGAGCCAGCCCACTCTCGCCCAGCCACAGAGTTTCGGCGTCGGGCAGCCACAGCCTCCGCCGCCCGTAGGTGGGGCTGTGGCTCCAAGTTCGGCGTCGCTACCGCCGTTCCCGGGAGCGGCGACCGGGCCGCAGCCAATGACGGCAGCCGCTCAGCCAACTCAACTCCAGGGAGCGGTGGCCGGCGGCGCCCTCCCGGGGCCTGTTGCCCAGGGTCTACCACCGACGAATGTAAACCTGGCGCAGCCTGTTGCCCTGGCGGCTCAGCCGGGCCAGGCGGTCGGCTCTTCGCTGCCACAGCATCCTCAGCAGTTCGCGTATCCCCAGCCTCAGATACCACCCGGGCATTTGATGCCGGTCCAGCCCTCGGGCCAGGGTGAGTACCTGCAGCCGCACGTAGCCCTGCAGCCGCCAAGCCCTGCGCAGCCCTTGTCCACAAGTGCAGGCGCGACCTCTGCTTCTGCGGCCAGCTTTCCTCTGGGGTCTGGCCAGAGCGTCCCCTCCTTGGGTGCGCAGATGATGGGCACCTCTTCCCAACCCAGTGAAACAGTGGCCCCTGGTCCGGTTTCCGGCGGCCAGGCCGCGCCTAGTCAACCGCCTGGAGTGGCCGCAGCTGCTGTAGGAGGCGTGGTGCAGCCAGGCGCTGGGCTTACTGGGACTGGGCAGCCCCAGTCCGTGCAGCAACCGCCGCAGATGGGTGGCAGTGGTCAGCTGTCAGCCGTGCCTGGTGGTCCTCACACCGTGATGCCCGGAGTTCCAAACGTGCCTGCGGCGGCACCCGCTCCAAGCGTGCCTAGTGTGCCCACCACTTCTGTTACTATGCCAAATGTACCCTCGCCACTGGGCCAGTCTCAGCAGCTGAGTAGCCATACGCCAGTCAGCCGGAGCAGCAGCAGCGTCATCCAACAAGTTGGGCCACCCTTAGTGCAAGGCACACACAGTGCACCAACAAGTCTACCACAGTCTGACCTAAGCCAGTTTCAGACTCAGACCCAGCCTTTAGTCGGGCAAGTTGACGATACTAGAAGAAAATCAGAACCCCTACCTCAACCACCACTTTCTCTCATTGCTGAAAATAAGCCTGGTGTGAAGCCTCCAGTTGCAGATGCCCTGGCAAACCCCCTTCAGTTAACACCTATGAACAGTCTGGCCACCTCTGTGTTCAGCATAGCTATTCCTGTTGATGGTGATGAAGACAGGTATGGAAACTTTTATTTTAAATATCTGGTAGAATTGCTTGGCTCAAACATCTTAAAATATTGGGAGATTTTATTTTTCCACTGAGGCCTTTTTATTTTTAAAACTTAGTTTAGTAAAATCAATTCAAAATTTTGAAGTAAGAGGTGTAAGGAGAGAAAAGCTATGGGATGTTTGTTTGTAACATTTTTAAGCAATTAAATGGGTAGTGATTTAACGCCATTGATGTATTTCAGCTTAACAGTTTAAAGAGCTGGTATGCCCCCTCCCCTATCAATGAGAGTATCTTTTTCCAAGGTATTAATTACTTTTCAGTTTTTATGGCATTTTTTTTCCAGTTAGTTTTGAAACTCTAAAACTGAAAATCAGAAAGACCTTTTTTCTGGGAAAAAGTGAATGAAGCAATAGTGAATTGGGGAAGACTGGGAGAGAATGGTAAAATGTGAAATCTATCTTTGACTGTCCTAAGTCAGCTTTTTAACAAAAGGGAGTCATGAGGGTTCCCAGTAACTTCTCAAAGATAATACTTTTGTTTAAGAACAAAAAAGAGAAAGATAGATTTCTCCTATCATCAGTCTTTAGGGAAGGGAAGAGTGAAATGCTTAAACAGTAGTAAAAAGAATTTTTGAAATGAAATGTCTGTAGCCAACTCCCACTACCTAGAGTGTAATGAAGATCTTTTTAATAGGTTAGGCCAAAATTAGTGTATTGCTACACTATTTTATAGCAGTTTATGTTTGGTTATGACCTGCTTAGGAATTGTAGTATTTTTTTAGGAGCAGACCTTTGGCTTTACATAATTCCAACCTTGTTAAAAACTTAATTGCAGTATATTAACACTACATTAAAAATAACAGAAAAAGAGTTGGGTATCCTATGCACTAGGTTTAGGAGAGAGGTTAATTTTAGGTGCTAAAAGGATCAAAACTTGGTTTGAGTTTCTAGAATCATTGGTATGTAGAAGACTACCATGAAATATTAAAGCTTTTCTGTAGTCCCTCACAATCTTAACTTTTGACTTCCAGTTATCCCTATTTTGTTTTATATACACATATGGTAGTTTAAAAATGCTGACTGGCATTCATTCATCTCTGGTTTTGTAATTCAAAGTTCATTATTTTTGTAGCCAAGTTGTAGGAAGTCTTTGTTACACTTGAGAACTCAGTGTCTATAAGTTAGCTAGTCAACTAGCCAGTCACTGAAACATTTAATATAGGTGGGATTACCAAGTTAAAAAAAGAAAACAAAACTGATTTCATTAGCAACTCAACAACAAAAAACCCTCTTTAGTTACTCCTAGCTTCAGGGTTAGGGCCATATTTGACAGGCAGATAGAGTTTACCTTTCACCTTTGATGGAGGTGAATGGTACCTTATCTTTTCTAGCTAGCAGGAACCTGTACTTTCTAAATTAGCAAATTATCTTGTACTTAACCCTCTCTGATCTGTACACTGCCCTGTATCTTTTCAATTAATGACTTTCCCAACCTCCTCTTTTACACATAAAACCTATGAATGAAGAATACATCTTCTACCCTATTCACACATTTTGCAGTTTAAGGCATCTACAGTTATATTCCTCAGAACTTAAAAGAATAATATATTATTGAAGCTTGAATCTGTTGACAGATGGAAACTCTGAGACACACTCCATTTGAGTATGTTCTGCAGGTGCTTATATTTTTACCTCACTGCAGTAAAAGTAATCTCAGAAATCTTATTTCCAAATACAATGAATGTTTTAACTGCTTATAGTGTCATTTCATTGTTATATCATTTGCATCAGTTGATTCTTTTCAAAGGTTTGATTGTGTGTAATCCCATTTTAAATGTGCCACTTCTTTCCTTTACCCCAGTCTTAAAGTCTGCCTTGTAAATTATCAGTTTTTTTTAATTGATTTTTAACATGCTAGTTTCCAAGATGTAATCTTACACATTTGATGTTTTGTCACTAGACCAACACACCTGGTGAAGGAATGAATCCATTAATTAGAAATAGAATTTTGTTCTGTTTGTTTATTTAAAGAAACTCTTTGTAAAAGAAGACATTCTAAAGCTTTACACTTGAGAATGTTTTTCCAGGCACATGTGTAAATTATCTAGATGAATAACTTAAGAAACAGTACTAACTAGAAACATTATTTTTAATATAATTTGAGGTTACTTTCTTAAAATCAGTATCATTTATTATCCTTCAAATATAGATAAAATGGAGAGTTTTGAGGGATTATGTCTTAAATTTCATAAATAGGTTAACACATATCCTAAGGAAATACTTGTAAATATTCAGTTTTTGTTTAAATAACAGATTTAGTAAGCAGGTTTTAGTTCTTTTGTTTTTAAACAAAAGGAAGGAGGACGGGAGGTTAACAAAAGGTAGGTTTTAGGTTCTTACATTGGAAGCCCTGTCATGGTTTTGGTTCCACACAAGGGCCTATTGAACCAATTTTAAGATTATTTATATGAAACAACTGCTGTAATTGATACCTTTAAAGGCCTGATACAAATGGTCCTCAATTATCATTAGCTGCTGACCCTACATTATTAAGTATCAAGTTGTAAGATTTTTCCAGCCATTTTGATTTTAAAAATTTATGATTATACACATTAAGACTTCTCGTATCTAATTTGTATTAACTGGTGGTTATGACTGTTGATAAAGAATTATGTAGTCACTTTTACAGTGAACATTACAAACTTTGCTTATTACCTGTACATTTAACAGACTTCCTTTACTGTAAATGAGAGGAGATGTAAACTATTACTGGCCCTAAATGGAGCACAGTACAGATTGTTTTCCAAAAATAACTGACCAGTGTGAACTCTGAAGGTAGCATTCCAGGAACTCATGAATGGCTATAATTGTGAACTGTCAACTGTCTAACTGACAGTTGAAAACCTGATTATTGTAAGGATCCCTTAGTTACACATAACTTTGTTTTATTGGTTTCATTTGAATAGTGTGATAATGACTAGTAATGCTAACTGGCATTTGTTGGAATGTACTATAAATACAAATTTCTTCATAGATATTTAATGGACTTCACATATTTAATGGAATTCTCTTTTTTTTTTAACTTGAAGTTTAAGTGAGAAGATTTATTTAATATATACACATACACATACATACCAGGAACAACACTGTTGTAAAGCGTATAGGCCCCTTGTTAAGAGCTGTGTTACAGAAAGGTCTCCCTGCACATAAATTTAAAAAAATATGAAAGCTCTTTAACTTGAATCTGTTTCTTTGGGACCTTAACTTTTTTTTTTTTTTTAATCTATTGCATTATAGAGGTAATTTTGATCTTCTAGCAAGATACTGTTTTATGCCAATCTAAGGCTTTGGGAATGCATTCTTACCCAGGAGTTGGTAGTCAAAGTATAAAATCAGATGTATACATGACATTATTTAGTATAAAAACTGATAATGGTGCATTCAATTGAAATATCTAATTACTAAAATATACATTAGTTGTGAACATGAATCTAAATAAAAGAAATTCTGAATTTACAGAAAGGCTGATTTTCCAAAAAAGCTGAAATTCCTACTGTTATATCAGTAGGCTCTTGGCATTTTCTATTCACAGGGACACATATTTTAAATTGAGAGCTAGTTACTATGGGCCAAATGTTTATTATTTTAAAGAAAATAAATGCTTACGTGTATATGGATGAAACATATTTCAAGTAACTATTTTATACAGTTTTTTTTTTTCATGTAGGTGAAAAAGAGGTCTGGAATCATAGATTATTAAGTATCTTGTTAGAAGTCATTTTACATAGTATTAGAAATAGGGGGACTATGTCACCCTGAGAATAAATACAGCATCAGTCTATTTGTTCTTTAAGGCTCTGGCAGCATTCATTTGGAAATGGCATGACACTGGGATTATGCATTTGGGATGTTGCTACTTTGGAGTGGAGTTTGTCTTTTTTTGTACTAGGAGAGAGGTTAGATGCTGATGTCCTGTGATGATCCATTAAGCAAAGGCTCCCATCCTCAGTCTCCTTCCTAATAGAGGGAATTGATGTTAGGAAGGTAGAAAAGAGATTTTGATTTTTTATTTCCCATAATGGCCTGAGTTTTAGGGGTAGGGAAGTAATTGAGTGACAGCAGATAACTGAGATGAAAGAAAATATAGTAGAATAACATCCAGTTTGGTCTTAGAAGAAAGGAACTTGTCAATAATGAGAACTAATAGTGTAGTTTTTATAAATTACTTCTAAATGATTGTTTTAGACCATTTTGTATTTACTTTTCTGAAGAGGTGCTGTTTACTAATAGTATTATTCTTTAATGTAAAGAGAAAGGGCTTTATAAAAAAAAGTGTCTAGTTAAATGTAGTCTAAATCATTTAGTAGATGCTTATGAAAAAAGATCAGATTATTTTAAAATAAGAAATTTTAAATATTGGTATTATTTGTGGGGTATTATGCAGCAAAACATGGATTGGAATAAACCTTTAAGCTTGTAGTTTTGTCTTTATACTCAACTAGTGGTTTAAGTTATTATTTTAGATAGTACAGTACTGATGGGTATGTCTACAAAGAATGTTCCTACATATTTCACTGATCTTTCCCATACCTAATCAAAGACATGCTAATTATTCAATATCTATTATGTTTTTAACCAGGTATTGCTTAAAACAAAAATTAGGTGGCCTTTTGGGAGGCAGAGGCAGACTGATGTCTATAAGTTCAAGGCCAGCTTGGTTTGCATAGTGAGTTACTGGCTAGCCTAGACTACATAATGAGACACTGTCTCAAAAATCAAAATGATACGCCTCCCATAAAGACTGACCAGCTTTCTTTATCATTCCATGACACTACTAAATATACTTCAGTGTGTATACTTCAAGTTTGAATGATAATATTGAAAAGAAATTGGCTTCTTTATGTCTATAAATATTTGCATAAGTTAAATTTCATGTTTGTTGCTCAGAATTTTTCAAATCAAAGAAATTTAGATTCATTTTTATTATGTATGAGTGTTTTGCTGCATG